CTTAGTGTCATCCATTTATCTGAGGATGACTGGGATCTACTAATTAAACTCACAAAGACCTGATTTAATAAATCAAAATGCTAAATGGAAAATATTAACTGGAATAACAATTGATGTTTTTCATCTGAATACAGCATCTCTTACTGGTCAACAGGTGATTAAACACCAGAACAGAAGGCGCTTTGTGAGCAGAGAAGCATGTGGTAGTAGAGTATCTCAGAGGAGAAGTTATAGCAGACTGATCCTTTCTCTGAGGAGCTCTATGTTGAAAGAACAGATCATCTTTTAGAATCAAATCACCACCTCAGATTAGTGCCAACCAATTCTCACAAGCCAGCCATTTTTTCTTTTTCAACATTCTCTATCACTAAAGGTTCTGCACCGAAATTCCAACGTGTGCGGGGGCAAGCAGTTGTCACACACCAGCCATTCAATTTTGACACTATCTACTTGCAGGTAGCATCAGATCTCACAAGTTAGGGGCTAGGTTCTATAAAACTGCCCCAGTCGCAAGTCCACATTGTCACCTGTGCTATAGATCAGAGGTTCCAACGACTCCCGCCTCTTGTTTAATTTTTTTTTAAAGATTTTATTTATTTATTTGAGAGAGAGAATGAGAGACAGAGAGGACGAGAGGGAAGAGGGTCAGAGGGAGAAGCAGACCCCCCGCTGAGCAGGGAGCCCGATGTGGGACTTGATCCCGGGACTCCAGGATCATGACCTGAGCCGAAGGCAGTCGCTTAACCAACTGAGCCACCCAGGCGCCCTTGTTTGATTAATTTGCTACAGCGGCCCATAGAACTCAGAGAAACACTTTACTTACCAGATTCCTGGTCTAGTATAAAAGGATATAACTCCGGAGCAGCCAGATGAAGAGATGCGTGGGGCAAGGTACGGGAAAGGGGGCGGAGCTTCCATGCTCGGAGCACCCCACTCTCCCAGCACCACCACGTGTTTACCAACCCTCTCCCAAAGCTCTCCCAAAACAGTCCTCTTGGGTTTTTATGGAGGTTTCATTATATAGGCATGACTGATTAAATCACTGGCCATTGGCCGGGCACCTGGGTCGCTCAGTCGGTTAAGCGGCCGACTCTTGATTTCAGCTCAGGTCATGATCTCAGGGTCCTAGGGTAGAACCCTGGCGCGGCTCCCTACCGGCTCTATGTTTGGTGGGGAGTCTGCTTGAGGATTCTCTCTCCGCCCCTCCCCCCACGTGCCTGTGCTTGTGCAGGCACGTGCTCTTTCCCTCTCTCAAATCTTCAAAAAACAAAAAAAGAAAGAAAGAAAGAAATCACTGGCCATTGGCAATTGACTCAACCTCCAGCCCCTCTTCCTACTCTGGAGGTTGGGGGATGGGACTGAAAGTTCCAACCCTCTAATCACATGACTGTGTCCCCTGGCAACCAGCCCCCATCCTTCAGAGACCTAGGTGGTTTCCAGTCGCCTCATTAACATAACAAAAGACACCTTTCTAGGGCTCAGCACTTAGGAAATTCCAAAGGAGCTCTTTGCCAGGACTGGACAAAGACCAAATATAGTTCTTATTTTATAAATCACAATATCACAGGTACCAATAGCAATTCTGCCTTTAAAATATTACTCTATTATAATTTGCAGGGCTAAAGGTTATTTTTTGCTATTTACATTTTAACTTGTAGCATTCCAGAAGTGATTTTAGAGTTACTATGAACTCAAATGTCTGCAGTTAATTTCATATTTTATAAATTCTTATTTATGATCTATGTGATCAGTGATGCTTCCTGATGTGGTCCTCAGATTATGGGGTCTGAGCTTTACCACAGAGGCCCACTGCCCTGTGCCTACCTACTATTATAAGGAGCGAGAGCAAGGAAGCCAGAGGAATATTTTAGGGCACTGACTTTATACCTCATTTTGGTATAGACTTCTAAAAGAATTTAATGAAATATTCCATGACTTTCTTCCTAAAAAAATGCATATGCACACAAATGTTGATATACTTTTCTGGCTGTTCCTAGGACCCCCTAACACTTAATCATGGGTCCCAGGTAAGTACTCTTGCCTTAAGGATATAACTACACACAATCTCGGATAATATAGTCTAGTGTTGGCTTGACATTAATTTGGAGTCATGCCAGTAGACTGACAGGATGCCAAAGGCATGGCCATCAATCAAAGAATGACTAAAGATCTATACCACTGGTCCTCCTTATCAGAAACTGTAGGTGATAAAACCATCATGTTGGCCATATACATCCAAATTACAGCAATCAGTCCTGGTATCTTTTTTTTTTTTTAAAGGTTTTATTTATTTATTTGACAGAGAGAGACACAGTGAGAGAGGGAACACAAGCAGGGGGAGTGGGAGAGGGAGAAGCAGGCTTCCCACGGAGCAGGGAGCCCGATGTGGGGCTCGATCCCAGGACCCTGGGATCATGACCTGAGCCGAAGGCAGACGCTTAACGACTGAGCCACCCAGGCGCCCCTGGTCCTGGTATCTTTAAATGCAACAGATGACATGCCAGTAGTATTAACAATTAATATTTATTGAGCATTTATTAGGTGCCATGCATTACTCTAAATGCTTTACATGAATTCATTTAATCTTTACAACCATCCTAAGAGATAAGTGTATTTTCCTCATTTTAAAAATGAGAAAACAGGGGCGCCTGTCTGGCTCAAGTCGGTAGAGCACATGACTCCTGATCTCGGGGTTGCGACTTCAAGCCCCACATTCGGCATGGAGCCTACTTTAAAAAAAATAAAAATAAAAAAACAGGGGTGGCTTTTTTTTTTGCCTCGTTGCATCCGAGAGAGCAAGATGGGTCACCAGCAGCTCTACCGGAGCCATCCCAGGAAATTTGGCCAGGGTTCTCGTTCCTGCCGCGTCTGCTCAAACTGGCACAGTCTGAGCCGGAAATACGGCCTCAATATGTGCCGCCAATGTTCCCGTCAGTACGCAAAGTATGATACAGGCTTCATTAAATTGGATTAAGTGAACTTCCTTGAACTGGTCATCCAAGATAACCTACCTTAACTGCAGATATCCAAGACACCTACTTTAATGCCAACTCATTGTACATAAAATAAAAATACTCCAATTAAAAAAAAAAAATAGGGCAGCCTGGCTGTCTCAGTCAGTATAGCATGCGACTCAATCTCAGGGTTGTGAATTCGAGCCCCAGGTTGGGTATAGATTACATAAAATTAAAATCTTAAAAAATAAATAGAAATGAGAAAACAGAAGCTTTCTAACTGTACGTATTAGAGATCAATATGACCAAAGTCATATTTGCTTACAGTGAGCTCTTTGTACTCTGGCTGCTGGGAGAACCCTACTTTTTTCTGCAAAGATAATTTTTTCTGCAAGGCCTAACACATGCATGATAGACTTATCAACAGCATGTTTCCCTGAACTTATTGGTGTATCTATCAAAATCTATGTGATACTAAATCACAATAAAATGGGGCCCATAATGTTTGCTATAAGAATACTATATTGTGGGGCACCTGGGTGGTTAAGCATTGGTTAAGCATCTGCCTTCGGCTCAGGTCCTGATCTTAGGGTCCTGGGATTGAGCCCTGTGTTGGGCTCTCTGCTCATCAGGAAGTCTGCTTCTCCCTCTCCCCTGGCAACCTCCCCACTCCACCCCAAGCTCTCTCTCACTCTCAAATAAAATCTAAAAAGGAAAAAAAAAAATACTATGCTGAGGGGCGCCTGACTGGCTCAGTCAGTAAAGCATGCAACTCTTCCTCTCAGAGTCCTGAGTTCAAGCCCCACACTGGGCATAAAGCTTCCTTAATTTAAAAAAAAGGGGAGGGGGCGCCTGCGTGGCTCACCCATTAAGCGTCTGCCTTTGGCTCAGGTCATGGTCCCAGGGTCCTGGGATGGAGCCCCACATCCGGTTCCCTGCTTGGCAGGAAGCCTGCTTCTTCCTCCCCACTCCCCCTGCTGTGTTCCCGCTCTCGCTGTGTCTCTGTCAAATAAATAAATAAAATCTTTAAAAAGAAAAGAATACTGTGTGGACTAATAAATTACCTGGGAAGAGCTTTGATCATTTTAAAAGAAACACACCTGAAACCCCAAAAATGTTCATATTTCTTTCAAATATGAAGAACTACTGATCATCTACACTTTAAAGAGATAACATCAGCACCGACATTTTTAGACTATGACACTCCCTCTTAAAACTTTCATTTTTGGACTCACTTCAAAAAGCTTAAGTATTCTTAAAAAAAGACATGAGTTGGGGCGACTGCTGGGAATACTTGCGGAAATTACCACCCTTTCATCCTTGAGGCCCTGCTCCCTGCCAGGGATCTGAAATGACTTCACCACACATTCAGCAAACTGAATCCCCTCAACCTCGTGGGAACTAAGCCCCCAGGCAATGGAGTTAGGGTGTGGTGACCTCACTCACATTCAAAACCTATTTCTTTTTTAACCTGCACAAGCACAGTCCTGGCTGGAACCTGCCTCACACTTTTCAGATGTTTTTTAAATTAAAGCTACAATTTGCACTCCACCCTATTTCTCAGAGCACTTCAGAGAAAGTGGAATGCCACAGAGACTGCAGGAAGATAGGAATATTCTGGACATGATCCTAAAATTTTTAATTTCTCAAGCAATTGAAAACCCACAAGTGGGGACGCCCGGGGGGCTCAGTCATTTAAGCGTCTGCCTTCCGCTCAGGTCAGGATCTCTGGGTCCTGGGATCAGCCCTGCAGGGCTTCCTGCTCAGCAGGGCGTCTCCTTCTCTCTCCCTCTCTCTCTGCCACTCCCCACCATGTGCTTTTTCTCTCTCTCTCTCTCTCAAATAAATAAAATCTTAAAAACAAAAAAAAAGAAAGTCCACAAGTGAATAGGCTGCCAGTTGAGAAACTTGGCTATTCTTAAATACTAGTTATCGGCAATGTTATCATATTAGAACCCAGCTCAGGGCCACAAGTACAAGGAAGCCTAATCAAAATATCATCTGAAAACAATAATATGGCTTCTAACCAAAGTCAAATTTGCTTACAGTGAGGTCTTTGCACTCTTTGGGTGCTGGGAGAAACCGACTTTATTGTTTTCTGTAGAGCTTCATCAGAACCTTCCACAGCATCTTCAAGGTCTTGCTCAGAATCATTCGATTTTGATTTTCCGGCTTCATTTATATTGGGCTTGCCAGGGTTTTCGGACATTCTCAATTAAGTTTATTTACTTTCCTAGGAAAGAAAAAAAAAAGTGAACCAAATGTTCTGGCTCTGTCACTAACTAGCAGTAGGACTCTTGGCAAATCATTTATTTTCTTTGGGTTTCAATTTTCTCACCTGTAAGAATGAATGGGCTTGCGAAGATCTTATCCAGCTATCATATTCTACCTCAATGATTAAACAGATACATGTAAAATGACACTTATGATTTATCAAATTTATGGACCTGTACCTCAGAGAGCGACGAGTTTGAATATTTTTGTCCCACTTCTAAGTACCATGTCAAAAGAAAACAGGACCTTACATTGTCGGAAGATAATACTATCAGCTGCCTGCTTCTATTTTAATCAAAAAGTGATTCAATTCTTCCATTCTTTACTTTCATTCCTGAGAGTGGATATGAAAAGTCGTTGGAAATCATGTTTTAACTTCGCTTCCAAATGAAGACACTGGGCTGAGGAGCTGGTTCTCTGATTCTGTTGTGTGAATAACTAGGGATGACACATAGAAGGTAGAATCTTACAAAGCATGTAAGAATATGTGGGGCAAATATTTTTATTAACTTCTTGCCAATCAGCAGGAAAAGATGGTAAGGAGGACGTTGCAAACAACCACAATGTATGGGGTTGGGTGGGGTTTTAATTTTTAAGTTGCTGGTTAGAACAGTAATAATACTTAACACATTGGTTTGGGCCAGTTAAAAAAAAAAAAGGGGGAACTTGCAATTGTAGCCTCTTTTTACTGTAAAAGTTTTTCTCGGGGCGCCTGGGTGGCTCAGTTGGTTAAGCGACTGCCTTCGGCTCAGGTCATGATCCTGGAGTCCCTGGATCGAGTCCCGCATCGGGCTCCCTGCTCGGCAGGGAGCCTGCTTCTGCCTCTGACCCTCCCCCCTCTCATGTGCTCTCTGTCTCAAATAAATAAATTTAAAAAAAATCTTTAAAAAAAAATAAAAAAAAGTTTTTCTCAAGTTTTTTACCCCCGAGTTTTTTCTAGAGTTCTCTCTTCCTAAGGTGTTTCTAATTAAGGGAGAAGACAGACACAATGTTTCTGCATTCACAATACTGCAAATAATTAGCATTTGTACCATCAGCACTTGGAGATCACAAAACATTGTCATAAACACTAATTAGTCTTTATTATATACCTTGGAGGGTAATCCAGGGATGAAAAGAAATGTTGACTGCTTCCAAAAGGTCTGGCAGACTCTCTTTTGCACATTAGACAGACGAATCACTTGATATAATTATCTGAACTTTCAGAATCCTCCATTAAGTAGAATGAAGTTACTGGAATTGACATTTTCAGGCCTGTATTTTTTTTCCAGGGCTGTATTATTTTTTTAAGATTTTATTTATTTATTTGACAGAGAGAGAGACAGCGAGAGAGGGAACACAAGCAGGGGGAGTGGGAGAGGGAGAAGCAGGCTCCCCGTTGAGCGGGGAGCCTGATATGGGGCTCAATCCCGGGATCATGACCTGAGCCGAAGGCAGACACTTAATGACTGAGCCACCCAGGCGCCCCTCCAGGCCTGTATTATTAATATGAAGGTTGCTTTAATGCAGTTCCCCTTACCTTCCAACATCCCACTCCAGACACCCATTTCCTCTGTCCTAAATCCTATTAGGCTCTGGATATGCTCCAAGATCCAAAAGGTAACACTGCCAGCATATTCTATGAGAAAGGACAAACACACACTTCTAATTTTATCCTCTTCACATGCTGAGAATGACCTCAGAAAGGATGAAGTAACTCTTAACTGCGCAGTCAGGAGGAAGGCATGCTTTTCTCTAACGCTCAGTTTAATAAACTAACCCCACCTTTTAAGATTCAGCTCGAGTCCTACTCCTCCCAGGACACTTCCCCACAGTGTCTGCACCTTTCTCTGAACTCCTGTCCGGCTAGTTACTGCACATCTGGCATGCATCATTGCCTTAGATCCAATTCAACATACACTTATTTAAATAGGCCTGGAGAGGGAAACATGCTCACAAGGAAACGGAGTGAAGCTTAAGCTTTGGTGGCATGATGAAACCACTAAAGGAACATAGTGGAGGGATTAAGGAATTCCGCCTGGAAGGAGGCTGGGATAACCTTCCCGGAAAAGGGGACATTGGAGCCGTTCTTTAGAAAAGAGCAGGATTTCACGCAATTAAAAAATATCTAGAGTGAGAGAGGAGGTGGAAAGGGGGGCATTTCACTCAGAGGGCACATGTGAAGGCACATGAAAATGAGAAAACTAGTGGCAGGTGATGAAGAGGGAAAGGTGGGTTGGGGGGAGCCTGTAAAATTGCTAGTTTTATTAAAAATAACTCTTCACCTAGATTTTTAACTTCTTCATGCCCAACACCAACCATATTTCCCACATATGCTCCATCCGTGTAAGTCTATGTTCCAAACAGATGCCCACTAAGTATTTGGTGACAGCGGTGTCATCTCTGTTGATGTCAGCGTGTGGGCAAAGGAGGGGCGTTGGTCTCAGGACGTACCTGGGTTCCAATTTTGGCTCTTTACTAGCTGGGGAACTTCAGTTTCCTCATCTGTAAAATGCAGCTGCCTACTTCTTCGATTTGGGGGTAAGATGAGACGACAGAATGTGCAGCTGGTACACTACAGGCTTTCCACAAAGCGGAGCTATAATTACTGGAACTGGTAGCTACAGGAACCACGGATTGCTTACAGCGTGCTCATTCAACAGTCACCAACTCCTCCGCCTGGAAAGGGAACCGGGGGTAGCAGGATCCTCGCACTGGTCCTAAAGACCTCCTACCCGAGCTACACGCCGGGCCCTAAAGCCGCCACAAGAGACTCCCCAGCAGAAAAGGTCTCTGAGCAAAGGAAAGGCGCCCTGTCTACAGTCGCCGGGAGCCGCTCCCTCCTGCACCCAGCGCCACTCAAGCTCAGCGCCCGGATTCCGTTGTAAACAACTGTTCGGGCCGGCGAGGGAGTGGCGGGCCGGCAGCTAGCGATGGCAGAGGGGCGCGCTAGGAGCACGGCCTCGAGGGCTGGGACAAAGGCCACCCTACGCCGCACCCCGCCGCCGTCCCTGCCTCCACCCGACAGCACGGAGCCCGACCTGCCCTGAGGAGGCGAAGACATGCCTGTGATTTCCACCTGGCGCCTCCCGTGCGGGCCCCGCAGGGCTGCTAGCCTCTGCGTCCGCTTCCCTCACCTGCCGCGGAGTTCTTCCTCCTGCCGCTCGGGCGGGGAATGAGACGGGCGGCGGAGGCGCGGAGCGATGCGCGGCGAGCACGGGACACTTCAGCCTCTGCCCTTCCGAGGCCGCATCCCTCGCCGCGCTGCGGGCCGTCCTCCCCGCCCGGCTCCGGTGGGTAGCGGCCAGTGTGGCCGCTCCTCAAACGTCGGGAAGGAGGAGGCAGCCCTTTAGCCGGGAGGTGCCCGCCCCTCGTAGGGCGGCGCCATGTTTCCGTACGGAAAGGCGGGAGGCGCGGTCCCGTACGCGCGGAGTTTGCTCAATGGGCGGGAGCTCGAGCCGGGCGGCGCCATGTTTCCGTACGGAGATGAGAGAGGCGGGCTCCGAGTCGGCAGACAAGGCTCAGTGGGCGGTGGCTCGGAGCCAGGTGGTGCCCGCTCCACTCAGGGCGGCGCCATGTTTCCGTACAGAAAGGTGGGCGCTGTTGGGAGAGTGTGAGGCGGGAGAGGAACACGTGGTAGAGCCGGCGCGGAGTCTGTCAAATGAAAGAAAAAGGCCGCTTATTCGCAACCTCGTTCAAAGCCTTCCCCGCCCGGGTTTTCGAACTTCAATATTACCATGTTTCGTCACTGCACATAGTTTATTATTCTACCTAATCTGGGCTGTTAAAAAAAAAAAAAAAGCCATGCTTACCACCTAGATAGCCAAGCCTCACTTTAATGGCACAGATTCATTTTGGTTTGGGGATCCTCTCTTACCTAAGTGGTTGCTACACTTTGTCGATAGAAAGAGCGAGACTTCAGCCCGGAAGAGACGCGGGGCAAGGGGACGAACGGTTCCCATGAGGGTTCAGCTCGGTGTAGGTACATAAACAACAGTGAGGACTTGGAGCATTTTATGACTGTGTTCTAGAAGGGGAAAATACGCTAAGACAAGCCCGTTTTGGAGCCCATCTGCCTCTATCACAGGAAGTGGGGGCCGTGATTATCTCGGCACTGGACTAGTGGCTGCTCCAAAAAAACCATGCTTTTCTCACCTTTTAGCAGTAGGATAGCAAACTACGTGAACAGAGTTTTTGTACCTAATCTTAAAATGTAAAAGCTATCTGAGGCGTCTGGGTGGCTCAGTTGTTAAGTGTCGGCCTTCGGCTCAGGTCATGATCCCAGGGTCCTTCCTGCTCCGTGGGAAGCCTGCTTCTCCCTCTCCCACTCCCCCTGCTTGTGTTCCTTCTCTCGCTGTCCCTCTCTCTGTCAAATAAATAAAATTTTTAGAAAAAAAATTAAAAGCTATGTGATTAACTGTTCATTTTGTAGAGATGCTATAAGACTTAGCATAAGTCATGTATGCCTTAATTAAACAAAATGAGGGTAATAATCTAGTCTCCTACCCGTAGCTTATAAAACTTGTTAAATTTAAATAACTAGAAAAGCAAGATGAAGTGAAATGAGTGCTTTCAAACACTACTAAATAGATCACATTAAGAATCAAACCATTCACTAACTAGCACATTAGGTATTTTTTCTTAAATACATAAGCACATCAAAGTCCTCAATGAGGATTCACTTTAGGAGAGAAAAAAACAAAACCCTTAAGATACTCAACCACCTGGAATAAAGATTCACCAAGAAAACATTAAGCTCTCACTGTGGAGTCCAGACTAATATACCATACAGTCTCTAGATTAGTGGTTCTCAAACTACACCCTAAAATTGTCTGGGGTGTGGGCATTCTAAAACGATCATCTGAAACTCTGGGGGTGATGCTGGGGGAAAAACTGTTAAGCTTTCCAGGTGATTCAAATGTGCAGCTAGGCAAGAACCACCTCCCCAGAGAGATCCACCCTTGCCCCCGCCACATCTACACCCCTAGCGAGAGTCCACTACCTTCCTTGAAGGATTAATATAAACAATTTTCACTTGTGGAGGGGACACTGTTACAGTATTAAAACCATTGATTTGACTTGTAATGGTTACTTTTTATCTTCTGATATACTTGGAATTATTTCAAATATTAAAAACATATGGACACCTTGTTTGATTTTTTTGGCTTCAAGCACTGGAAACTCAAACTACTTCAAAATAAAGGGAGTTCACAGCAAGGCTCCCTAGGGTTTGGAAGGAGAAAGCCAGCAGCTGTTCTAGAGAGCAGTACTGTTCTATCATCTCCCCAAGACACACAGGATGGCTCTCATCACATCTCTACTCCTTGCTGCAATCCCCAGCACCCCTCTGAATCACAGACTGGTTTCTCTATTTTCTTAGTTGTTGCTTCCTCCTAATTTGGATTTTTCTATATAGAATTTCCTTGAGCAAGCTGATTTTTGTGCAAAATCAGTCATTTGCCTATAGGTAAGCTGTTCTTGGATCAGTGCTTAGCCCTGGTCTACTTAGCTAGAGTGGTGGCAAGGCTCATAGTCACCTAGGCATCAGGTGTCTAAGTGGGGCCGGGTCCCCAAGGGGATATCATGGATGAGGGCACACAGCAAGCAGCTGGCAGTTTTAGTGATACAGGAGGGGTGCCCACAGCATTCATGGTAGCACAGGACCCGCACTTTAAAACGTTGACCATGCTTGCGGCGCCTGGGTGGCTCAGCCAGTTAAGCAGCTGCCTTCGGCTCAGGTCATGATCCCAGGGTCCTGGGACTGAGCCCAGCATCGGGCTCCCTGCTCAGTGGGGAGCCTGCTTCTCCCTCTCCCTCTGCCTGCCTCTCTGCCTACTTGTTCTCTCCCTTTGTCAAATAAATAAAATCTTAAAAAAAATAAAAAATAAAACTTTGACCATGCTTGCAGTAAACAGGACCAATTTTTCTTAAACTTTATTCTTGCTTAGGAAGTTTGAGGTAAACTGATCTTGCTAGAATTTTCCATGAAATGAATGCCGCTGCTTCTAGGAACATGAATATAATAACTAGGCAGGGGCACCTGGGTGGCTCAGTTGGTTGGGCGACTGCCTTCGGCTCAGGTCATGATCCTGGAGTCCCGGGATCGAGTCTCGCATCGGGCTCCCTGCTCGGCAGGGAATCTGCTTCTCCCTCTGACCCTCCTCCCTCTCATGCTCTCTGTCTCTCATTCTCTCTCTCTCAAATAAATAAATAAAATCTTAAAAAAAAAAACAAAACTAGGCAGTTAGTTTTGCTTCCCCTGAAGAAGTGTTAGGTTTTGTTTGCCAAATAATCATTCAATTATGTGCAAAGTAAAGGTCGCAAGTCAGATAGTACACACAGTTGCTCTATACTAATGTATAGTCTCGAGATTAGTGGTTCTCAACCCTAACCACATCTTGGAATCTCCAGGGGCGGGAGGGGGGGCAGGAGTTCTAAAAGGATCATCTGAGACTCCAGGCGTGATGCCAGGGAAGAATTAAGCTTCCCAGGTGTTTCGAGTTTGCAGCCAGGCAAGAACCACCTCCACACCCCAAGTATGGTCTCACCACACTTTCAGTAGTTTCTGAAAACTTCCTCACATTTAAATCACGAACGATCTTATCTTCTTCTTTTCACACAGTAAAGACAGCTGCCTTCCCTTGTCTATGAAAACAAAAAACCTGACAAAGTTATTCCCTGCTTTATTAGGAGAACTGGGATCACAGATATAGAGTTCTCAACGTTCTCCCACTGAAAGACTGTTGGTATCAGATGTTAGAAAATAAAAGATTGACATGCTAGCATTTTGGTGCATCTCAGTTTTCCCTACTGCTCTTTTAGGGTTTGTTTGTTTTAAGCAATCTCTATACCCAAACGTGGAACTCAAATTCACAGACCCAAGATCAAGAGTCACACGCTCTACGGACTGAGCGAGCCAGGTGCCCCCTCCCAACCTTTCTTTAAAAGTTTAAGTAGAAAAATTGTTTCCTTTTAATCTTTTGATTATTGGATGAACAGTTTCAAATTGTAATTGTATTATATTGCTTGTCTATTTACCAAATATATCCTGACAGTGCAGTTCCAAAATGATCATGACCTTGGATGAAAAGTTGAAGATTTTAGGGGCACCTGGGTGGCTCAGGTCTTGATCCCGGGAGTCCGGGATCAGGATCCAGTCCTGCATCAGGTTCCCGGCTCAGTGGGGAGTCTGCTTCTCCCTCTGACCTTCCCCCCTCTTATGCTCTGTCTCAAATAAGTAAAATCTTAAAAAAAAAAAAAGTTGAAGATTTTAGTGCTAATGACCAGTTCACAAGAAGTACAGGATATGAGAGGAACATGATAAAAGTTAGTACAGGTTTGCAATCAGCAAAATCCAGACTGTGGAGAAACTCAGGAACTAACCAGGTTTATTCAATGACAGAGGCAGAGCGAGAAAAGGAGGAGGAGGAGAAGGAAGGAGGAGTTAAAAGAAGAACATATAGATTAAGAGAGGCTTTTTTTAAAAAAAGATTTTACTTGACACAGAGAGAGAGGGAACACAAGCAGCAGGAGCAGGAGAGGGAGAAGCAGGCTTCCGGCGGAGCAGGGAGCCCGATGCGCGGCTCGATCCCAGGACTCTGGGAATCATGACGTGAGCCAAAGGCAGATGCTTAACAACTGAGCCACCCAGGCACCCCAGATTAAAAGACTTAAGAAGCACATTAACCAGTTGTAATTTATGGACCTTAATGGATCCCTATTTGAGTAAACTGTCAAAATCATTTGAGATCAGAAAATGTGACTACTGACTGCATATTTGATGGTATTAAGGAATTGTGGGTTTGTGTGTATGTAATGATGATATTGTGGTTATTTTTTTTATGTCTTTATCTTTTAGCCATGCATTCTGAAATTTAATAGATTAAGTGATATGATGTCTGACGTTTGCTGGGGTGGGAGCAAGGAATGCATGGGGTTATAGATTAAATGAGATTGGCCATGAGTTGCCAATTGTTGAAAGTGGATAATAGGTACATGGAAGTTATTCTTTTATTCTGTTCTCGCCCATTTTTAAATGTTTGAATTTTTCCCCAATAAACTTAAAAGATGTTGAAGTTTTCAAAATCATCAGGACAGTTCAATTTCTGACTTGTCTACTGTTTATGGTAATTAGCAAATTCACTTTATCATAGCCTGAGTTTCTCTCTTGTATCTTTAAGGAGTACCTCTTAAGGTAAAAACCACACTCCTACTAACTTGTAATTATAGACTTCCTTACTATTTAATACTTTGTTATGTAAACACTGCAATGTCATATCATTAAATTTCTATGATGTTCTATAAAGTACTGGGCACAGTACTTATAAATCAGCTCACCCTAAAGAG